TATTTCTTATATGTAATTATTCATAAATAATTTTTTGAGACTGCAAGTACCAAAGGTTTAGGTTGCACCCTCTCAAATTAGAAGCTCAGATGTTCATAAAACTCATTAGCTGAGCCAAAGCCATACTTGTTCGAACTTAGAGTTTTGTTAATTTACTCGGAAAGTTAATTAAGGAATTCATTTATAATTAATTTCAATTAATTATAGCATTTATATTTTTATATGAAGAGCAATGTGCTCTAAAGTAGTTTATTTTTTATGTATATTGATATATTACTAGTAGCTTAGTTGATTTAATATTTTACTAACTCACCACTTGAAATGAAACTTAGAAATTTATTTTAGATCTGTAGAATTATTTATGTATTGTGTATTTAATAATACACTATTTATGAGTATTTAGTATGCCTTAAATGAACTTAGATTTTTTAGCTTATAATAAAACATTTTATTATATTATTATAAAATACAATGTATTATGCCGTGTAGATCTGATGATCATAGTGGTTCTCTACGAATATGAGTACAAGCTCCTATAATTGATTTATCCATTTACAATAATATATACTTAAATAGTAACATAGTTTTTAATATCGGTAAGGTTCTGCTAAGTGCGTAGTTATAAGTTTTTGTTATATATCAACCGGCGGATATAGTTTAATCTTTTTGAAAAGAAAACTTGTTAATTTTTAGCTCAATTTGATATTTATTTTACAGCAATCACATAAAATTTTGAAATAAAACCATTCAAAAAGATAAATTTTATTTTCTCTAAAATTTTTTAAACTATGGTATTCCAAAACTGCCTTCAAACTACTGCATATTAAAACAGTTGTGAACTCCCATATCGTGTTTAGTGACAATCCAGTTAATGACAAGATTTTATTATTATTGATAAAATTACTATTACTATTAGAAAGGAGAACTGCAAACAGCGATCTATGAAGTTCAATGTATAACTCTTGAGCAGAGTCTCCTAAGCTCTCACGGACAAACTGAGGATATTAATAAACCCAGAGAATATAAAACTAATATAGTGTAACAAGAAATCTGCACTCAAAATGAGAGATATCTAAGCCATCTTGATAATCACGTGAATGTTCGACCTCAAGTACTTTTTAATACATTCTAGGAACCCCGACGACTAAAAAGATTGCTATACACAGTTATTGAAAACAATAAAATTGAAGCACTGGCTGCATTTTTTTTGTAACAAATGAGAGATAAGTAACATATAACCTGAAGAGATGAGTTAGAAATATAAAATAATAAATAAACAAACCCAACAATATCTCTAGGTTTAAGAACATAGTTTGTTCAATGAAAATCAAGTGAAGGAAATGCATCTAAGGCATATAAGACAAGATAAGATAGATAGATATGATGGATTGACAGATTTAATAGTTACATTAATTAATTTTGTAAAAAATATATGGATCAAAACAAAAAATGAACGAGAATTGCACATATAATCTTTACTTATATCCATTTATATAACTAGTTTAGAAATAAATGTCTATATATTTAGTTTAAGGTTTGTTTTTTTATAGTATGGAAGGCTTAATAAACCACTATTAACAACGATACTTAAGCAAAGAATCATGTTTATGTGGGCAATCCACTAACTCTCTACACTTTAAAAATGAACATCCGTTAAGCTATAATTAAGCTGTTGACACCGATGTGCCGAGAAAATCACGTCAATAAAATCCATTAGTCCATTAAGGTATTTAAGTGATGTATTTTACACGTAATAGTAAGGTCCACAAATATTTGAATTTAAAATTTGATCAAAATGTCAACCACAAATCTGCTAGAAACACGATTAGTACTTAATTTAATGAACATACAGGAAAAGCAAATATACGAATTAATGTTACTAATTTAGAAATGTGTGGCAAACATATACTAGTTATTTAAATAATTAAAAATATGAGAAACTACAATAGATAACGTCCTGGCGCATTCTCCAGTGAAACACAAACATCATCCTAATTCAACAATTAAGCTCCAATGATTCCAAAGTTGTTTCACATATAATATATTATTACATACATAGAGCAGCCTCTGCTAAAATCCATTGTCACATAGGTGTGTCCGAGAAATCGAAATAGTGCCGGTAATGATGATAATCTTAATCACATGTAACATTTATATAGATCCACTTCGTACCAAAAATAATAGTGTCCAATAGAAGAAATTTTGTTTAATATTTTAAGAATGGAATTTAGCTCAGCAATTTTGTAAATATTAATAGGAGGCTGATATTGCATCGTAAATTTTTCGGTTTTCCTCACTTTTGGTACGTGAATTTCTGTAAAAACCTTCCTTCCATAAAAAACTGAACATGTTTCGCTTTCATGTTAACCAATCTTACAATACTCCTGTCATGTAAGCATTCACTTCAGCAATTCCGAAATAATTGAAATAATGAACGTGCGTAAATTCACTGACAGACAACCACAATGTGAGCTTAACCACTTA